TTTTTTTTTTTTTTTTTTTTTTTTTTTTTTTTTTTTTTATCCCCGCCACCCAGGTTGAATTAACCTTTGGTAAAAAATTTCCCAAATGGAGAGAAGCATATCTCCAGCAGCGTTGGTCCATATCTATACACACTTGCATGTGCACATGTACCTCTTCAGCACATTAGGATGGCTTTTGACGAGTCCGCGCTTTTCGATCGGTTTATGCTTCTACCAATGGAGCGACAAAAACGGGGCTTCCCTTCCCTTCTTTGTATTTGAAAACCGCGGGAACTCACACACTTGGAGAGAGGTTAGCTTGGATGGGACATGACCATTTTTTTTTTTTTTTTTTGTTTTACTCTTCGTTTGAGTGACCAAAGGAGGGGTTTCTTGAGGACAGGTTGGAGGCAACAGGAGGGGGTGTGTCCCTCGACGTTTCTCTTGGCCCAAACATTTTTTTGTTCCTTTTACACTCATATTTTTTTGTTCCTTTTGCCCATATATTTTTCTGTGCGTTTTACACCCATATATATATATATATTTTTTTGTCTTTTGGGCGTATGCCAGGGAAGGGCAGGGGCACCTCTTCCCCCCCAACTACCAACCATGAGAGCCATGCACCCCAGCCGCCAACACCATGGAGGGCCCAAAAGGGACTCCTCCAATCTGTCTTTAGTAAGGCTAATTGACGAATGGAGTTGCGTCGAAGCCAAGTCCTATCCGATAAAAGATATAACTACATTAAGACGAATCCAATATGAAATTAAAAGATTTATTTATACAAATATTTTACACAAGACGAGAGTGAACTTCCTGCTGTTCCATACCTTTTACAGTTACAAGTACAACTACGAGGTGCTCTACGTGGGCAACCAGTACGCCTTCGACATGTGTGGGGGTGGCGGTGGGGACATGTACGATGTGCTCAAGCGCCACTACAAGACAGGAGAAGCATCTGGGGGGAAGCAGGATGTGATATCAGATTTGAGCGATGAGTGTAGTACGGATGCTGGGGGGGTGGGTGACAATTCAGCCTATGGTTGCTCCACCGCTACTTGCATAATGGGGGCCGCTTCCCACTCTGGGGAGGATTGTTCTTTTCTCCTGGGGGGAACACGCGGGAGGGACATGCTTTCCCCGCAGATATACACATCCATGGTCTCCTCCTGTCTCGTGCTCCTCGAAAGGAAGTACTACCTCGACTTTATCTGTTTGTACCTTTACATGAAGGCCTACTTCGCGTTAGACACCGTGTGTGTGAAAAATGGGACCGTCTTAAAGTTTACATGCCATGAGAGTTTCCTTCATATGCTACTGCTGTTGTCCGACCTGACCACGTCGAGCGATACCCACGCGGGAGGCACACAGTTGAGAGGCGGCAGACACTTCACACAGGGACACCCCGGAGACCCATCACATCACCACCCACGTGCAGACACAAACGACATGTATAGTTTAAAGACGTTTGAGGAGGACCTGCGAATTAATAATTTATCCCAGTTTTCATATAACGTTCTTTTCCTCCTAAGGGTGAACATAAATTTTAATGAGTTGAATTACGACTTGAGTACAGATGTGTATGACTCTCTATGCAACTTCGTCATGTCATTTAGGGATGCGTTCATGAGTAGGTTCGTGGCCAGACTGAACCATCTAGATGGGCTGACCATGAAGTGTGGTCATCACATATGGGGGAGAGCCCAACAGGGTGACAGCCATCATGTTAGTGGTAATGAAGTGGGGACCGCTTTTGGCATGGAAAATATTATCCCCGTCGACCGAGGCTGTAATGTGGAACCCCCCACGTGGAGCGCTTCTAGCTTAGCAAGCGGGAACCACGCTTCTCTCTTCCTTCCACACATGAGTGACATGTCGGTGTATGAAAAGGGGGGTGTCCTCTTCACGCACTTCACCGATCGGAAGGGGGCATTGCTGGGGAAATCCACGCTGGACATTTTCTCTGCACCCCAGCTCAGTGCTAAGGAAGCTTGCTATTACAACTTCAGTCTGTTCAACGAGGGAGAGATGAGTCGTGGACGGGAGAACCTTTGGACGGAGGTACTTTCCGATGTTCATAATATGAATAACGGAGGCCAGCATTCCCCTGCGCCCCTTCCTCTGGCGGGGGCTAACGCAAGGCATGCTTTCACCCTGAGAGGGGCAGACATATACCAGGAGGAAGAGTTGTCACATATGGACAGCGAATCCATCACGACATGCACATACACGTACACATACACATATATAAGAAGGAACCATGCGAAGAAGATCAAACAGGATGAGGACAAGTACTTCTTAACGAATGAAGAAAGGACATGGGGAAGGGGAAGTAGTCCCAACGGAGGAATGACCGATGGAGGGGAATCCTACTTGTGGCACAAGTCTTATGCAAACGATACATGTTCTCTCAATGCAATAGAAAAAAAAAAACATAATAATAAAAAAAAAAAAAAATACAAAAAACATTTTTTAAGCATCATTAACAGCATCTACGTTACTCTCCACAAGAATGTCATTTGCAGTTTAAACAGTAGGATAGAGGAGTATCGTTTTTTTTCTTTAAAACCTTTTTTTCATCTTCTAAGTAACAATGAGCCTTGGTGTGTGGAAAAGGGAGAGCTATTAACGACATGCAAGCATGAAATAATGGCATGTCTGCTGGGACATGAGAGTGAAATGTTTCCTAGTCGACACACCTTTGTTAATAGAGCTCAAACAGGCAATATATACATTAGTAAAAATTTCGTATGTGTTAACCAAGGTGTTGCCTTTTGGCTGGACAAGAGAAGGGAGGATGTTTTTCGCCTACGATTTGAGCCCTTTCGAAATTTGTTTTCTTCCCCCTTTTACCAGAGGTACTTTCACCTCTTCCTGTTCTTTGCCAGGGTGGGAACGCTGGTGCGGTACGTGCAGGCGTTCGTGCGCGTCTTCGCGGGGCTGCTTTTCCGAGGGGGGCTCGACGGCGACAACGTCGACAGTGACAACGGTGCGGGTGACGGTGCCAAGCGGGAGGGAACATCGCCGAGCGAGTCGCGCCGAAGAAGGAAGGAAGAGCGCAGCCGAGGAGGACACAACAAGGAAGACGTAATTCCAATAGGAGAAGTATTCACCACGTTTATCAACTCCGTGGCCAAGTACCTAGACTTCTATTCAGAACAAACAAGGAGAGTCATTGTGCAGGGAAATGCCAACACCCCCATGGACATATACAACGGGGTTAAGAGGCACACAGAGTGCATTGAGCTTCTGGCATTCCTCTGTTCCAGTTACACACACGAAAAGGAGGAAGTATTTCGAAAAAAATATTTCGTCTTTTATAACAACCTCCCCCCTGATGGGACAATCAATTCGAATCTGAAGCAAGTGACCGAGTACAATTCCCTCCTCAACGTTATTTATGGCTTGTCACACAAGGGAGGTGATTATAAAATGTATAATGACCGTGAGAAGAGAATGATATGTGGTAAGCCTGTCGACTTGTTCATTTTCCCCAGGGGCAGCGAGTTGCTGAGTTATGTATACAGGTATTACTACCTCTTCCTTAGTAGTAGAAGGAAGCACCTGGCGAAGATGTGCAAATATCTTTTCCTCCGCATACTAAAACCCCTTCTGCACTTCCTTTATGCTTATGTTTTCCTGGGGGTCAACAGGGACTTCCACCACGAGTATATAATTAGCAAACAGGCGTCACAGCAGTTCTTTTTCGTCCTGCACAAGGGGGTTAGGTACTACGACCGGGGGCGCCTCCTCTCCGACTCGGTCCTTTCACTCCCCATTTTTTTAAAGTACGCCATAGGGATTGTGTACAGGGCAGGTATGTACACGTCGCCATCGCGCACATGGCTGGCCCATGTGTCCATTTCGGCCGACCGTCGCAACACTTACACTTACGCAACACGTTTAAGGAACACTTCTACACCGCTGTTATCCCCCCTGCAGGCGAGCTGTCCAGAATTTTAAGTTCAATCAGCGAAGAAGACTTCCAGCTAGCCATTCCCAAAATCTCCTATGATAAAAGCTGGGTAGCCAAAAAAAAAAAAAAAAAAAAAAAAAAAAAAAAAAAAATGACCCAAAATGACGACCAACACATGAACGGAAGTGTAAACCAAATGGAAAGTCCTAAGGATGTAGACCTGCCAAACTTGATGTGCTCCTTGTCGGCTGCCACTTTAGAACATTTTTTTCATTTGCACACAAACCCGAGTCGAAAGAAGTTGAGGAGGCCAAGTGAACGGTTCGAAAACATCTTCATCGAGCATTGGAATGATGAAGAAAGCGCCAATCATGTTTTCTCCACAACGAGGAGGAATATAAGGAAGCGGTTGCAGAGGTACGTCCGCTCCTTCCGCAGTGCTCTCAATCGGCCCGATGGTCCCACCAGGAGTCCAAGCACAAATCGTTTTGACGTCACCTTGAGTAAGGATAACGAGGACAGTGATGCGAATCGCTCAACTGGAGTGATGGACAAGTACTTATATAAGGAAGATGCGAGGAGGAGGAATATCCTCCCTACGTGTAAACTTACAAAGATGATAAAATTAAGGGTCATCGCTAAGCGGGGGAAGAAGTCACGTGTGGGGGGGCGAAGCGGTATGGGACGATGCGGTAGGATACGGTGCCGCAGGAGAGACACAAACCCGAAGCAACAGGAAGAAGGCTCATCAGACTGGAGTAGCGACGTTACTTCGTGTCCTCTGTCCGATAACACAACTGCGTCGTCACACCGTGGTGGCAGGGCATGGAAGGAGGAGGTGCCTTTCAAATTGTCCCACTTCCATTGTACCCTTAACAATGGACGGCGAGACGATGGGGAAGAGACGCGCAACATCGTCACCCCGTTTAGCCTCATCACGAATAACGAACTGGACGAGGGTGACACTTTTCAGGAGCGAAGAGACCTAGCAACGTTCCACATAGACTACGAGGATGATGGGGGGAAGCTCTCCAGTGCAGTACAATTAGGAAGGAGACCCAACCACTGCTACTACAACCATTCCCCAACGGCGAAATGTGTCACGTGGACCAAATTGGTGAGTCCGTGTGGGAGCGACAGTGGAGGTATGGGTAACAAACGTGACTTGCTTCAGGACGATGACACAGAAAGTGTACTTCCCCCACCGATCGGTTCACGCAAAATGGAAATTAAAAGTATTAATTATTACCTGTACAAAAATCTTTACACACCAATTAAGGAGCATTACGACAATGTCAATAGGATTCTCGTGTGGTCCTTTTTATTTAAACACAACTTACTAGCATTCGTTTGTCTGTTGAAGTGCACCATGTTTTTCGAAGCTGAAGGGAAGCAAAAGATTTTTTCATCCCTCTTGAGTCATAACAAGAAGGGTGAGTCGGACGACTTTGGGGGTAGCCTCATCAGTAGGAACCATTTTGATGATCCCTCCGCTTATCACATGAACGCCAATATTGGTGCGTGCAGGACGTTAGAGACGACGGGATTAAAGACAATACACAGAAACAAAATATTGCACCATCGAGTAAACACATGTTGTTACTCCGCCTCAAATATAGCAACCAAGTTCTCTCACATCCATGTACACATACAAATTCCTCATCCATTAAAAATATTTTTTGAAGCAAGTGTGATACTTTGCTACACCAGTGTGTATAAATTAACAGCTCTGCTTTTTTTTACTCTACAAAATTTAAATGGCGTTTTTGGAGTTTTTCGTTTTTTTTCTAAGCCGCTGATTTACCAATATGGGAGGGACACTGGTGAGGGGGAAGGGAACAGGAAGAGGAAGAGGCAGAGGGACAAGGGGGGTATGCACTTGTTCAGCTCAAGCGACTTTAAGTACATGGACGTGATTAACAGCATCGCGCGGGGGAACGCCTCCAGCGGCGACGATGAAGGCAGCGAAGAAGTCCACGATGACAGCGACGGACTGAGACAACGTGGCAAGCCTCCCCGGAACTGCCTCCTCTCCAGGAACACTTGCAGCGCGCACTTAACGCGGGAACGGTTCTTCCTCATCATTGGCTTTGATGAGCATTTCACGCGCCACCCAAGTATACCCAAATTTTTGAGCCACCTCAACATAATGAATGACTTATTCAAAGATTTAAATCACATAAGAGTTGAAATGGATTTCATTCTCAGGAGCATTTACGACTACATAGTAAATACGAACGTCGTTCGAAGTTATTTTTTCTTTTTTAATAATGTGTTGAAGATAGGAAGGTTTTGCCATTTGATTGAATTTCATAAACGTCTAGCTGAGCACCTTCATCATTTCTCCTTTCTGTCTCCTGAATTTGTTTCACTCAACAGAATAATTAATAACATTGTTAATCTTGTGCATGTGTTTAAGAGCATCATGGATTCCCTGACATGGGTAGATGTGGACTCTCAAGAGGAGTTAGTAAACTTTTCGCAGACCTTCCAAGAGCACACTAAGAAGCTAGAACAAAACATTATTTTACTTACTTCTGCTCATGTGCAGGAGTTTATTCGATCCTTCTATGCCAGTAGGAATGAGTTAATTGTACACATTCGGGAGTTTCGCAGCGGGCCCCTCGACTGCATCTACAACAAGTTTTTCTTCAACGGATTCTACGCCCGCATGTTTGGGGAGGACGACTGATGGGTGATGGACCAGTGCGGACGTAGGCGGCCGAACGCAGAAAAAAAAAAAAAAAAAAAAAAAAAAGGCTAGCATTTTCTAGCACACCACCGCAACACAAGGAACGACAAGTAATTGCCATGTGTGTGAATTATTTTTCCAATTACAACCTATTGCTGTCTTGCACCCCTTACGGAACATTCCCCCCTTTGGAGGAAGCCTCACTGTGGCTTGTGATACAGCACGGGGACCTCCCTCAACGTGGGATTGTCTTCAATATCATACTTAGCTAGAAACTGTGGGCGCAGAGGTGGCTTCCTAAATTGAGTCTGTTTACTTGGAGGGAAGCTGATCGCATGTTTCATTCGAAGATAAACGAGACTCCTATTCTCCTCAAAAGATTTCACATGCTCCGTTCTGTACCTATACAAGTCTTCTTCCCTCAATTCGTTCAACTCTTCTGGAAGTACATTCACGATGAGGACGTTGTGGACGGAGTGGAACGTGTATTTCACTCTACCATTTGTGAGGGCCACTAAACTTGTATTTTTTGTAACCTTCACATGTTCCCCAGGGTAGTACTTAAAATTGCGTCTGCGTGTTTTTTTTTCGTAACCGAAAGCAATAATTTTTCTTTGCTTTACGAGAAGCTGTCCCGTTTTTACATACTCAGCACTTAGCCGTTTTATTCCAATTTTTGCTTTTTGCCCTTGTCCATTAGGAGAGCTCCTACTTTTCCTTCTGTAGGAACTCGTTTTCACCATTTTAAAACGCTTAAATATGCACAGGCTGTTTGTAATATTTGTATGTTGTTCCTCTCCTCTGGGGCAGTCATACCGAACCCTGCTGGGAAGCATCCCCAGGGGAGGAAACAGGTAGGGGTGGAATACACACTTAGTGCTGCTAGTACATATTGTTTTTTTCTGTATTGAGAGGTGTATTTTGCTTGGTTGGCTTTCTCGAGGGGGGAAATTCAATGAAGAATTTTGAAACCCTCGCGAGGTTATTATCCCCCTGGGGAGTCCCCCATTTTGTGCACAGGGAATGAAGAAGCCATTCTTCCAATACGGGGGGGTTAAAAAATGAAATCTTCGTAAAGGCATCATCTTGTTTTGGACCCATTTTTGGGGGGCAAGGGGAAGTTTCTCTTACCCTTCCGCGGCAACATTTGCTCTACGTCTGTTGATATTAAGAGGAGGGGTGGCCCTCCTGGGCTTTCTTTCACTTCGCTCTGCTTAGCCTTTTTTTTTTTTTTATAACACCCTCACGCAGCTTTACTTCGTGATATGTATATCCTTTGGGACTTGGTAGAGCATGCAGCTCCGCCACGCGGATCAAAGTTATGGTGGGAACATTGAACAATGAACAATGAAGAATGAATAATGGAACGGGCGGGAGAAATGTTGAGGTAGAACTGTTAGGGTTTTTTTTTTTTTTTTTTTTTTTTTCAATACAACCAGCCGTGTCACGCTGCAGCGATATTGCACTTTTGCAAAATGGGGGACGGGGAAATTCATGGATCCTCTTCCCCCCTCCATTCTTAGCACAGAAACCTTTTTTCCCGATGTAGGGTGCAAAGAGCATTTT